GACTCTTACTCTGAGGAAGTCTTGTTCACCTTCCCTGAGTGAGGACTTTTACCCTGAGGAAGTCTAGATCACCTTCCCTGAGTGAGGACTCTTACCCTGAGGAAGTTTAGATCACCTTCCCTGAGTGAGGACTCTTACCCTGAGGAAGTCTAGTTCACCCCTTTCCCCCCGTGAGGCTCTTACCCTGAGGAAGTCTAGTTCACCTTCCCTGAGTGAGGACTCTTACCCTGAGGAAGTCTAGTTCACTTTCCCTGAGTGAGGACTCTTACCATGAGGAAGTCTAGTTCACCTTCACTGAGTGAGGACTCTTACCCTGAGGAAGTCTAGTTCACCTTCACTGAGTGAGGACTCTCACCCTGAGGTAGTCTAGTTCACCTTCCCTGAGCGAGGACTCTTACCCTGAGGAAGTCTAGTTCACCTTCCATGAGTGAGGACTCTTTCCCTGAGGAAGTCTAGTCCACCTTACATGAGCGAGGACTCTTACCCTGAGGAAGTTTAGTTCACCTTCCCTGAGTGAGGGCTCTTACCCTGAGGAAGTCTAGTTCACCTTCCCTGAGTGAGGGCTCTCACCCTGAGGAAGTCTAGTTCACCTTCCCTGAGTGAGGACTCTTACCCTGAGGAAGTCTAGTTCACCTTCCCTGAGTGAGGACTCTTACCCTGAGGAAGTCAAGTCCACCTTATATGAGCGAGGACTCTTACCCTGAGGAAGTCTAGTTCACCTTCCCTGAGTGAGGACTCTTACCTTGAGAAAGTCTAGCCCACCCTATATGAGCGAGGACTCTTACCCTGAGGAAGTCTAGTCCACCCTATATGAGCGAGGACTCTTACCCTGAGAATGTCTAGTCACCTTCCCTGAGTGAGGACTCTTACCCTGAGGACGTCTAGTTCACCTTCCGTAAGGACTCTTACCCTGAGGAAGTCTAGTCCACCCTATATGAGCGAGGACTCTTACCCTGAGGAAGTCTAGTCCACCCTATATGAGCGAGGACTCTTACCCTGAGGAAATCTAGTTCACCTTCCCTGAGCGATGACTTCTGCCCTGAGGAAGTCTAGTTCACCTTCCCTGAGTGAGGACTCTTACCCTGAGGAAATCTAGTTCACCTTCCCTGAGCGATGACTTCTACCCTGAGGAAGTTTTATTTCCCACCTTCCTGGTGGGACTCTTACCCTGAGGAAGTCTAGTTCACCTTCCCTGAGTGAGTACTCTTACCCTGACGAAGTCTAGTTCACCTTCCCTGAGTGAGGACTCTTACCCTGAGAAAGTCTAGTCCACCCTATATGAGCGAGAGCTCTTACCCTGAGGAAATCTAGTTCACCTTCCCTGAGTGAGGACTGTTACCCTGAGGACGTCTAGTTCACCTTCCCTGAGTAAGGACTCTTACCCTGAGGAAGTCTAGTCCACCCTACATGAGCGAGGACTCTTACCCTGAGGAAGTCTAGTTCACCTTCCCTGAATGAGGACTCTTACCCTGAGGAAGTCTAGTTCACCTTCCCTGAATGAGGACTCTTACCCTGAGGAAGTCTAGTTCACCTTCCATGAGTGAAGACTCTTACCCTGAGAAAGTCTAGTTCACCTTCCCCGAGTGAGGAATCTTACCCTGAGGAAGTCTAGTTCACCTCCCCTGAGTGAGGACTCTTACCCTGAAGAAGTCTAGTCCACCACCCCTGAGTGAGGACTCTTACCTTGAGAAAGTCTAGTCCACCTACATGTGCGAGGACTCTTACCCTGAGGAAGTCTAGTCCGCCGTACATGAGTGAGGACTCTTACCCTGAGGAAGTCTAGTTCACCTTCCCTGAGTGAGGACTCTCACCCTGAGGAAGTCTAGTCCAATCTACATGAGCGAGGACTCTTACCCTGAGGAAGTCTAGTCAACCCTACATGAGCGAGGACTCTTACCCTAAGGAAGTCTAGTCCGCCCTACATGAGCGAGGACTCTTACCCTGAGGAAGTCTAGTCCACCCTACATGGGGAGGACTCTTACCCTGAGGAAGTCTAATCCACCCTACGTGAGCGAGGACTCTTACCTTGAGGAAGTCTAGTCCGCCCTACATGAGCGAGAACTCTTACCCTGAGGAAGTCTAGTTCACCCTACAAGAGCGAGGACTCTTACCTTGAGGAAGTCTAGTCCGCCCTACATGAGCGAGAAATCTTACCCTCAGAAAGTCTAGTCCGCCCTACAAGAGCGAGGACTCTTACCCTGTGGAAGTCTAATCCACCCTACCTGTGCGAATACTCTTACCCTGAGGAAGTCTAGTCCGCCCTACATGAGCGAGGACTCTTACCCTGAGGAAGTCTGGTCCACTTTACCTGAGTGAAGACTCTTACCCTGAGGAAATCTAGTCCACCCTACATGAGCGAGGACTCTTACCCTGAGGAAGTCTGTTCCTCCCTACATGAGCGAGAACTCTTACCCTGAGGAAGTCTAGTTCACCCTACAAGAGCGAGGACTCTTACCCTGAGGAAGTCTAGTCCGCCCTACATGAGCGAGAAATCTTACCCTCAGAAAGTCTAGTCCGCCCTACAAGAGCGAGGACTCTTACCCTGAGGAAGTCTAGTCCGCCCTACCTGTGCGAATACTCTTACCCTGAGGAAGTCTAGTCCGCCCTACAAGAGCGAGGACTCTTACCCTGAGGAAGTCTAGTCCGCCCTACATGAGCGAGAAATCTTACCCTCAGAAAGTCTAGTCCGCCCTACAAGAGCGAGGACTCTTACCCTGAGGAAGTCTAGTCCGCCCTACCTGTGCGAATACTCTTACCCTGAGGAAGTCTAGTCCGCCCTACAAGAGCGAGGACTCTTACCCTGAGGAAGTCTAGTCCACCCTATATGAGCGAGAACTCTTACCCTGAGGAAGTCTAGTCCACTCTACCTGAGTGAGGACTCTTACCCTGAGGAAGTCTAGTCCACCCAACATGAGCGATGACTCTTACCCTGAGGAAGTCTAGTCCTCCTTACATGAGCGAGGACTCTTACCCTGAGGAAGTCTAGTCCACCCTACATGAGCGAGGACACTTACCCTGAGGAAGTATAGTCCACCCTTCACGAGCGAGGACTCTTACCCTGAGGAAGTCTAGTCCGCCCTACAAGAGCGAGGACTCTTACCCTGAGGAAGTCTAGTCCGCCCTACAAGATCGAGGACTCTTAACCTGAGGAAGTCTAGTCCGCCCTACATGAGCGAGGACTCTTACCCTGAGGAAGTCTAGTCCGCCCTACCTGTGCGAATACTCTTACCCTGAGGAAGTCTAGTCCGCCCTACAAGAGCGAGGACTCTTACCCTGAGGAAGTCTAGTCCACCCTATATGAGCGAGAACTCTTACCCTGAGGAAGTCTAGTCCTCCTTACATGAGCGAGGACTCTTACCCTGAGGAAGTCTAGTCCACCCTACATGAGCGAGGACACTTACCCTGAGGAAGTATAGTCCACCCTTCACGAGCGAGGACTCTTACCCTGAGGAAGTCTAGTCCGCCCTACAAGAGCGAGGACTCTTACCCTGAGGAAGTCTAGTCCGCCCTACAAGATCGAGGACTCTTACCCTGAGGAAGTCTAGTCCGCCCTACATGAGCGAGGACTCTTACCCTGAGGAAGTCTAGTCCGCCCTACATGAGTGAGGACTCTTACCCTGAGGAAGTCTAGTCCACTCTACCTGAGTGAGGGCTCTTACCCTGAGGAAGTCTAGTCCACTCTACCTGAGTGAGGGCTCTTACCCTGAGGAAGTCTAGTCCGCCCTACATGAGCGAGGACTCTTACCCTGAGGAAGTCTAGTCTCTACCTGAGTGAGGGCTCTTACCCTGAGGAAGTCTAGTCGACTCCACCTGAGTGAGGGCTCTTACCCTGAGGAAGTCTAGTCCGCCCTACATGAGCGAGGACTCTTACCCTGAGGAAGTCTAGTCCGCCCTACATGAGCGAGGACTCTTACCCTGAGGAAGTCTAGTCTCTACCTGAGTGAGGGCTCTTACCCTGAGGAAGTCTAGTCGACTCCACCTGAGTGAGGGCTCTTACCCTGAGGAAGTCTAGTCCGCCCTACATGAGCGAGGACTCTTACCCTGAGGAAGTCTAGTCCACTCTACCTGAGTGAGGGCTCTTACCCTGAGGAAGTCTAGTCCACTCCACCTGAGTGAGGTCATATCCACACCCTCAACATTATCGTTTATCTCTCGTAATCATTCCTTTAACTCCATATTGAAAGTTCCTCCATTATACTTAGATTTGTAAGGGAAGTTCATTACTTTTGTTCCTTATATAAAGCTCATTGATCTTATTCTCCATATATTAACACACAGATCTATTATTCCATATCTTTGACAATAGTTCATACATTTTTTTTGTATTATAGTGCAATAAGCCATATCAATGGATAAATATAACCTTTAACCCCTTATTGAATACAATTAGTGCGAGATTAAAATTCTTACTTTTTCTTTGCTGTCATATCACTTACACAAGTAGTTAGTTAAAGATTAGCCGGTATTCTCCCGGCCCGGGCCTTGTCCAAGTGGTGGCCCGGCCTTGGCTCCCTCTTTAAGGAGTGTCTGAGACCTAAGTCTCCCATGGGAGGAGGCACAAGTACCTCCTCATCTTTGGGACCAACTGTCCCCAGGCCTAGCCACAAGCTAGGCCTCTCTGGTCTGTCATCCCCGCCCCAAGGGGGCTAATGGGAATGACAGTCTTATGAGCTAAAGGCTCGGGCTCAGGCACCTACCCTACCCTAGAAGAGTTAGGCATGGTGTCGATGACTTACACAAGTATATCCTCCATTCAGTATCACATAATGGCCTTTTGTAGGGAATCTGTTTTTCATTCTTTAATGTAGCCAAATTATTCCAATGTACAAAATTCATATAGATTTTCCACATCTGTTACATAGTATATTTTTACAAATAATTTACATCACTATTTATTTATTAGTTAAAAACATCCAAAATAAATGTATTTACAAAGTACTTTGTTTAAATACAATTAAATTTTTTGAAAAAATACTGTATTTACTTGTATAATATGGCTAGATACATCAGTATATAATTTCATTCTATTCATCGTTTTCATTGTTGACTAGATCTTCATGTATTAACATAACACACTGATTTACATACATAATTTGTTGATATTCTTGAAGATTCATCTTTCTTGAATTCTCAAAAAAGAATGTCCTCTTCTTTGACGATAAATGAAATGAATTTTGACTCAACGCCTCATACAGATGTGTTTATGGTCTCTCTCACAGGAGGACGATGTGTTAAGATCCTTCCACAAAATGATGATATCCACCTTCATCAGACAGGACACCGAAAAGGAGGAAGAGGGAAGAGACTATTCCTGATCAAACTTGTTTCATTTTAATCCGAGGAAATGCAAACAAACATCTCAGTCCTCTCAAACTAGAATACTCATCACAACAGCATGCATCACATGAACTGTCTTCACCTACCTTTCAGGACTAACTTTCCTCCCAAGACTCCATACATCTTCCCCTATGAAAGAAAAAATATTTACTCTTATTAAAATCTAACTCCTTTCCCCCCTTCCCACACACATTCTCCAATATTAAACTTCCTGTGAAAAAATAACACAGCAATTTCCTCTGAATTAAGTCACCTCTTATTGATATTTTACCCAAATTCTATCATACATCCAAGTGAACAATCACACCACACCTTCACCAATTTGTTTAAATTTTCTTTAACTAGTTCCTGCAGTATCCATTATAAAACCCTCTCATAATTATATATTCATTAAGTATTCCACATTCTCCTTCCAAAATATGTATCCAAGTCTAAAAATTTCAGGAAGATCTTTTCACATTGAGAAAAGTTCATTTTTTTCACTGTGCGTCTATGTACTCGCTAATCCATTTCCACTTCCATCTTGGTGAATAAACAACCACATCCTTCACACATCCTTCTACAAACATCTCTGTTGAAATATCTCCTTCGAGTGTGAATGCCTTTTAGCATTCATTTTCTATAATTCACCTTCATTTGTCTTCTCTTCCAATCAAACTTAACCTTTCTCAAGTATTACACATTCATAAAAAAAAAAATCTTTACATGTTTCATCCGAGTTTCAGCACATTATTCTATACATTATTTAAACACATTGTCACCTCTGAAAAGCTGATATAAATGTTATATCACTTCTTGACAATTCCCACCATCATGTTCAATCAGGTTAGGTCCCACACATCTTTCAATTATTACTTTAGTTTAAAAAAATTCTTATCTCCTACATTTAAGTTCCATCAGATCCCCCTGTCATTAGAACACGTTCACTCAAAATTAAATAAATACATTTCTCACTTCTAATGAATCAAGGAAAATTCACAGGAAAGAAGTCTCAAAAAAAAAGTCACAGGAAAAAGCCACAAGAAAAAGTCACAGGAAAAAGATGGTCAAAAAGTTTAGTGTGAGGTCATGTTGAGGTGAAATATATGTAACTCTCTCTCTAGCGAGGTCATATTGGGGTGAACTATGTATAACCCTGTCTTTGTATTGTCTATTAGTAACCTTAAAAAGGAAACACCCTTAATATTGAAAAGCTCTGTGTTTGCTTCAGTTTTGGATCAACAATACATGTTTTTGGCGAAAAATAATTTTAACAGCCACGGCCATGCAAATTATCGACAGTAATGAGCGTGGTTCAAAAAATCTGCTATTGTGGATATAAGTATACCAGACACGTCACGTGCAAAACCAAAATTATCTGGAAATGTGTTAAAAGATCCAAGCATGCCCCTGATCAGTCTCACATTCACCTTGCAAAAATTCACAACTGGACGAAAGATCAAGCTGCCAACACTCGAGACTGCCAGTCAGATTTCGTCAT